GGGAGAGGGAGAAATGAGAGAGAGTTGGTGGGTGTTGCTCACAGCGTCGTCTTCATCATCTTCTTCTCACCCCCACTCATATTTGATCTCTGAGAGAAATGTAGGGTTCAACTTTGACCTAAATTCTTTCCTTTGGGTGGTGTTAATTTTTTCTACAAAATGGCCTTCAGGTACATCACATAAGAAGCACATGACTACTTATATTATCTTATTTACATGACTGTTATTGATTGGACCTTTTAATCACATATTTTAAACTGTGGAGACCAATTTGGTGCAATTGGTAGTTGAGGGACCAAATTGCTATTAAACACATACTTAGGGGACCAGGATGTATTTTTTAGTCCTCTTCTTTTCTTGTTTCCAGCTGCTGCTTGTATTTAATCTTTTTTCTTTCGAACTAATGCGGGAATTTTTCCATTTGAACACATGTAAAAAAGCTTTGCTTGTGCTTCTTGTTTTGCTTATATTAGAAAATGGTATTTTAGTGTTCTTGAGCCACTAGAATGTCATTAGCAATGGCAATGTTTTACCAATGTAACATTTGTTCCATGCAGGAAGCTGCTGTAAATGATCCACTGCTTGACCAAAAGTATATGGCTTTGGAATTTGCTTCATTGTCTGATGGAAAGGAGGCAGCAGCTAGAGCAGCTAACTTCCTTTTTGTGAAGTATTATTTGGGTGGAGCGGATAAAAAACCCATCTTCACTGAATCTCTCATGGCTGAGGCATTAAAGGCTGTTGGTTTGTCGTTTTTTTCCCTCTCGTTTTTTGCATAACGTATACACACAGATATCTGATCTTTTAGCTATTGGTGTCATACCTATCAGGTTGTAAGGTGACGGAACCTGACCTTCTATTAGTGTATGGCCCTGCAAGATGCCACCTAGGGTTCCCAGCATGGAGACTTCGGTACACTGAGATTGTGTGAGTTACTTTATATACTTTTTCCAAATACATTTACTAGTTGTCCAAGGTGTCTATGTATGTTGAGCATTTAACTTAGCTGCGGGCAGTGGCTCTTTTATTAGTTTCATAAGTCTTGTGAGTGAGATCATGTCAGAGGACAGGATTTGCCCTTCCTGAAGTTTATGAATTGGTAGAGTCCCTCAGTTGAGGTGAGTTTTGGGGTGGAGCCTTGGAAGTGGTATTCCTGCATGTTAAGGAAACATTAAGAAACCCCAATTTAAGCCTAAATAACGCATGCCATTCTACAAACAAACTATACACGACAGCTCTCGTAGACAGGTCATGTACAACATATCAGTCATTTCATACATATTCCTGCTATTGTAGAACTGAAAGCTCTTTAGTAACTCTTATCTTCAGTTTGTGAGGCGCTTCTTCTGTGTATTTGACATACTTCGGGGCTGACCTTGAACTATTTTACTGTTGCAGACATATGGGACCATTGAAGTCCATGAAATATGGTTCCCTAATAAAAGTCATTCGCAAGTTCACAATGGTGCGCCAGAACTATGGTACGTACTTTGTTTTGTATGTAGTTGCAGATTTTTTTTTGGTAAAATCCGACGCAAGTGAAGCACTCTCTCTTCCCAAGTGAACCCTGGCTTGGTAGGGCACCCCAACCAAAAATACAAAAGAAGGAAAACAATTCCTTGTCCATTTTATGTGGTCAACATATGAAACAGTTCTCCAATTAGCAACCATTATGTCCTTTCATTCATATGAGGGTTATGTAGTGCTGATCTGATGGCCACAACAGCAACAGCTCTTTTTTTTTTTTGGGTAAATCTTCTGGGGAATTTGAAAGCTGCATCCAAGCTATGGATCTTCATTTTTTCTAATTTTGTTCATAATTCATGTGATTACTGGTGATTCAAGATATGGTGTTAATCCCAACAGAAAAAAAGGGGCTATGTAGTTTACTTGTTCTGTAGTTGATGGTTACTAGTTTTGGTAGCTGAAGGTATATGACCCACACTTTGCAAGCATGGCCTGAGATCGGATTTCAATGCCTACACGTAGTAGCTTCCTATTCTGAGCAATGGAAACTGAATTCACTGCATGTTAATGTGATTGAGAACAGATTATCAATGATATGTGTATAACCAAATTAACCAATTTACAAAGAACCTCGCTGGGATTACTCTGTTATTTCTGTTTCTTGTCAGGTACATGAGGCCCTTCACGTGGAGGAAATTTTCTTATGTGACATGTTCAAGGGTAGAGCGAATGGAAAAGACTTGTAGTTCCCAACATTTGCCAGCTGAATTTTATTTACCTTGGTTTCATTTTGGTTTATGTTTCATGGAATATTGTAAGATGACCAGGTAGATTTATGCCACGAGATTGTGGGTTCTCTTTTTCTTTTTCTTAAAAAAGGGTGGGGGCAAAGGAGAGCCCCTGATCGCACACATTATTCTTCTTGGAAATGAATCTAATTAGACTAGCATAACGGTTAAACACTGTGTTACAATGTGGACTACAAAATTCGAACCTCCAACTTCAGGGTGAGAAATTCAGTTGGTATTTCACTAGATCACCTCACTCGACGGTAGCTTGTTGGTTCTCTCTTTCTTTCTCTCTTTGTCTGGTTCATCGATAGGACTATCAATCTCGGGGCATAACTATTGTTGGTTCTGTCGATGACTCTCTCTTGTCCGGTTCATCGATTGTTGGTTTATGTTTGATGGAATGTTGGGATGGTATTGACTTTCATAAACTTAAATTCATTAGAATGAAGTAAATGTGGATGAGGCATAGCCAGCAAGGAGATGTTGTGCATGCGATTCTTGTCCTTCATAAAAATAATTGCCCAAGTGGAATGGTGATGGGGTTAACGCAAATTTTGAAAACTAAAAAGTTGCGGTGAGAAATGCAAAAGCAAACACTATGGAAGCAATTATGACAACTTTTTAAAAAAGAAAAATTGACTTTTTTTTCTTTGAGTTCATGAATATCTCTTTTGGGTTGCTTTTACTAAAAATCAAAAGCTACCAGCTTTCCAACATCACTTTATAAGTTTCATTTAGTGCTTAGTGGGTAACACCATTTTACAATCTCCAAAGATGTCAACTATTATGTCAATCTTGTCGGATTTAGGGCCGACCCAACAATATTAAAAATAAAGTTTGGGTTTTAGGTTTTAAATTTTTAGAAAGTTTCATAATTTTAGATATATTACTAATCCATAAAAAAATTAAATCCATTAACTTTTAAGCCTTAAAAAAAAGCCCCCAAAATGAAGTCCAATCAAAATTTTCATTGCAATAATTTGGGTTAATGATGCAATTCATAATATTAGACACCTAAAAGTTTAGAAGTTAAAAAAATAAAATTGTATTTAAAAAAGTCAACTCATATTTACCTCAACTCATTCTCTTTTTTTTTAGATAAAAAATAAAAAACAAAAGTTGAAACCTCTTTCTTGACAACGTTAACACATCTTTCTTCTTTCTCTCTCACACATACCTCTCGCCAGATTGATTTCACATGCCTTAATCCTCATATCTCTATGTATGTGTGCGTGTGTGTTGAGATATATACAATATTATAAAAAGTACCTTAAAATTAAAAAGAATATTTTTTATATTCAATCATATGCTATCTTTTTATCCTAATTGATCATAATCAGTGAAAACTTAACAACGATATGCTAATCAAGTTTTTTTATCTGAGTTTTCATTTCAAATAATGTGATATAATGGAGTAAATAACTTCAATTTTTAAGAAATAACGCATGTGGATTGATACTTAATTCATGAAATTGGATTGGTCAGATGAACCACAAGTCAAGCTTTGGTACAAATGCATGCATGATTTTTCTTCAAGTCTCTCTCTCTCTCTCTCATGCATGCATGCATGATTATTCATGTCTCTCTCTCTCTCTCCTGTCTGAGCCCACCAAATTATTTCTTGTTGAAGTGAACTCGAATCTAGTGATCCATGCTTCGTCGGCTATGGATATGTCTGTTTTTCCTCAACTACAAAACACATGATTACACAGACAAATGAAGTGCAAGTGGGGAGTTTCTTAGTCCAAAAAACACTATTGCAAGTGAATATTAAACTCATGGTCATTGTGATTTTACATGCATTTGCTTTGCTGCCAAACCCTTTAAAATAAAGAATATGACAGAAAATCCAAGGTCAGCATTTCATCTAGATACCTTGAATTTTGATTAAGGGGACATCAATTGTGGGTCCCCCAACAAGTTGACTCTAAACTTTGTTTATGCACAATGAAGGGGTTTGAGAGAGATGCCCAATAGTTGCTTCCAGCCTTGTCAGTGGTACATTATATAGAAATATTAAATAGCGCAAAAAAAAAAAAAAGTAAATTATATTTTGTACCATGAAAGATTTCAAAATTCTTATTTTTATATTATTAAATATTAATTTTTTTATATTACACATTCAATATATCAAAAGTATTGTAATATGACTATTTTATTAATTTTTCTGTCAATGTTGATGAATTAGTTTTTGACAAAAAAATAACAAAAAATAACAAAAATGTCATATTATAATATTTTTAATATATTGAGAGTGTAATATATAAAATTTAATATTTGAGGGCATAAAATAACAATTTTAAAATATTTTAAGATGTAAAATTAAAAAAAACCCAAATCAATATTGACTTTCTTTCTTTTATTATTTTTATTTGTTTCTAGAATGCCATCGACACTCATGTCAGGTATGTCCCCACGTCAGAGTAAACGAATGAATAACAAAATTAGGATGCCAAATCCAACTCTCTCTCCTCTATTTAGTTTAGACTAATTTTAGAGGACTTAAAAATTATACTTAAAAATTAAATTTGATAATTACAATCATTGAATAGGTAGTAGATCCCAACATCTATTAAAACCTACAGTAAAATCAATGATTGTAATTATCAAGTTTAATTTTTAAATCTACTTTTTAAATTTATGCAGCATTGCTCTTTAGTTTATTCCTAATACACATTCAAAGAATGTGACTAGATAACATCGTCTCTAAATTTAGACTTCATGAATTTGAAGTTTGCCAATTTTTAAGGTCAAATCATGAAAAATTATGCTTCATGAATATCCTAGCCCCGACATAGATGACTTACCTTTGATCAGATCAGAGAGGAGATTAGTCAAGGTGTGCGTAAATTGGCCCGAATACCCCTAATCATTAAACTTTCAAATTTGAAGTAATATAAACTAGGATCCTAATCAAAAAGTATTAATGTTAAAATTTAACTCAAATTAAGAAATAGAATCAATGGAAACCTACTAAAATTGTGATACCCAAATTTGTCTATCAATTTTTGTATCCAAAGTAATGTGTCAAAATTATGTGCATTGAATATTTGGTGGAATTAGTGGGAATTACCCACATTGATTTGAGATATAAAATTTGGTAAATGATTTGGTGGTCATAGCATTGCTTCTTTCCATAAATAAACCCCGTTTTTTTTTTTCATTTCATTTTCATGGTAAGTGGCCTATAAATAAAGAAGCCAGAAGTTGAATAGCCCACCCACCCATACCTTTGTTTCAAGAAATTAGCAGACATGAGATCTCTCTCTCTCGCCACCTTCTTCATTTTCTCTCTCTTCTTGGTAAGAAATTCTATGCTTGCAAGTCCAACCATCTATTTTTTTGTTGTATCGAAAGTTACGATTCAATCAGATTAAACAAAGACTTATAAAAAACTTGAGCTCAATCTCAACTTGTTGGGATGAGAACTTCCAAATCGATCCTAACATGTTAGAATCGGTTCAAAGTTCTTCAAGGTCCATCTCAATACTCAGGATTTCATTCGGTCGTAACTTGAGTTTGGTACCTTATTTTAATCATATTTTTCTTGTATATATGATTCTACATCTTGTGTTTCAGTTTTCAGACCTTAGCAGTGCAAGAAAAGACCCAGAAGACTATTGGAAGAGCATAATGAAAGGTGAGCCCATGCCCAAAGCAATCAAAGACCTTTTCCATGAAGATCTTGCATCTCAATCCACATCTTCTCAGGCTTCAAAAATGGATCATTTCATCAAGGATTTCGATCTCAAGCCTAGTGTTATAATCTATCACAGCCATATCAGGACTCCGAGGCGGGTTGCGAAACCGAAATCCGCCCCTAAAGCCAAAAATCTTTTGTTAGGCTAAGTGTAATCCAGGCACATAGAAAGTGCATATGAGCAGTAACTTATTGGGTAATGAATTATGTGACTAATCTTCTTGATTTATTCGGTTTTAATAATTTTGTAGGTTTTTGATTATATTTTATTTATAAAAACAATCTATTCGTATATAAGGTCAAGCTGTATACATTTGGCCCCTCTCCAACAATTCAATAACCCAATAGCGGGAGGTCGAGAACTTACCCCCCCCACCCCCACCCCCACCCCCACCCCCACCCCAATATTAATCATAATTGACATTTATGAACCTTTGCATTTGTGGAATACTTGGTATGGATTGGTGACGCCAAAGACCCAGGTCGAGCCACTGTTTCGTTGGTGGACCGGTTCAACCACAAAAGAACAGCCCATGGGTTGCCCCAAAAACTAGACCGAGCCGACTCATAGCCTGCTGAATCATTGAGTTGGGTATTTAACTTGGGAAGCTAATTCGTTATAATAATCATATCAACAAGAAGTCAATACGTTTCATTTTTTATTTATCAGCTATAATAAATTAAATTTTAAATTAATACAAATACTAATTTCTAGATATAAACACAAAACCAAGAAGCATTTTTGGTACTCATCAAACATAACATTGATAAAGCAAGACCCGGACAAGCTGCCGTTTTGTACTTTCGGTTTATTGGGTCGGTTACAGTATCGAAAAATAATTTTTTTTTTGTAGGAATTTCTATTTTTTTTATCTAAAAATAATGTAAGCAGTATATTATTTTATATAATTTTTTAAAGTTTTTCAATCAAATGGTTAGGAATTGTCTAAAGTAGAGCGGCGATAGTGTAGAGCATGAACGTGTCGTGTTATTTATGGGATTCGTATTCAACAATAGTCAACTCTAACTCAACTTATTTAATTAATCGTACAGTGTCAACCTGTCTTGTTTATTTTTGTGTTGATGTTAACCCATATGTAACCCATGAATTAAATAAGATTTTTAAATATTACCCATGAATTAAAAACATTTTTTTGTATAATAAGTTCCCTTCGCGTAGGAGCA